GCCCGCACCAGGCCCTGCCGCTGCCAGGGCCTTCGGCTGAGGGGCCGTGCGGCGTGCCAAGGCCGTGCACGGGCAAGGGCAGTCTATCTGCTTGGCAATCATTTTTTCTTGTCTCTATTTTAGCTGTACGAGATATTCAGCTGCCTGGCAGAGCTGGGTGCCATCGCTCAAGTTCATGCTGAAAATGGGGATATAATTGCGCAGGTAACTAACTACTGTTCTGGTAGGCAGGGACTGAAGAAGTCTATCCCAGGCAGATTCAGTGTGGGGAATTAGCAAAATGACTCTAAAGCTGCATAGACATTTTCTACAAGGTGATCTCTTTGCTGCTTAGCAGCAATATCATATTTACCAAGATTTTCTGTTGTGAATATGTGGTGCATAAGCAAATCTGAAATAGTGAATTAGCAGTTATCTAAATGGAAGAGACTGGGCCATCAAGTACGGTATGTTCACTCCAACCGCAGCTCTTTTTCAGTGTGGAGGGGCAGAGACCTTTGTCTTGCACATAATCAGCTAAGAGAGTTAAAGTGTATTGAAAAGTGCTGAAGGAAGAGAGGAATTTTCTCCATCCTGTAAGCAAGCAGCCAGCTAATGGAGCGGATTTGCAAGGGAATTGTTATGAGGGATGTGGTTTGGTGTTCAAGTGGGTAGCGTGTGTTGGCCCGCTGTGTTGTAGTTGGTCCTGGATGACAGAAAGTCCAAATGTTTTGATTTTCATTAAGACAGAGAAGGCATTGCTCAGTTATGCTCTGCAACTACTTGATTTTTTCCTGTCTCTCTCATTCTTGGGAGTTGAAGGCATGTGAACTAAGAGGTCATTCTTTGAACATCCTCTCAGACTACAAGAATCTGTTTTTCTTTGGACTTTTTAGAGCTACAGTGCACAATTGTATGGCTCTTTCACATGAAAACAGAGAGTGATCAGAGGAATTGTATTGGCTAGAGTTTCTCTCTACTTCAGCACCAGCCTAACCACAAAATGCCCCAAAACTATTAGTTGGTAGCACTTCACAGCCCTAGGAATTGCTTCTTTCTGTCAGGACTGATTGAAACATCACAGGCTGGTGTGGTGCTCAGCGTTTTGTTAATACAGAGACATGATGCTTGTGGTCATCTCCTGGTGGTGATTCACTGGAAGAAGTAGAGGATTTGTCCTCTCCATTCACAATTTCAGTCCATTTTACTTTCAGTGGTCCTGGCAGCTGTGTCTTTCCCCAGAGTTTGGTCAACATAGGAGAGGAGGTTGCAGGCGAAGAAATGTGGTGCGTGGCCTGAACAGAAATAGGACACGAGTAGAGTTCCAGACTTCCAGACTTCAGAATCTGATGTAGCTGGTGGGAGAGTGCATCGTAGTGGGTGAAGAGCAAGACATGAGAAGAGTATTGTCAAGTCTTTGCTTGGCACTTTCACTGTGGCAGAGAAGTTGTCAGAGGAGGTAACACGCAGCACTTGCCTCGTCCTTTGATACACTCCTCCGACAGCTGTGAACACATCCGTTATCGCTGCTGAACTTACACAGTCCTGAACGCAGATTGGTGGCATTATGTAATGCCCTTAATGTGCTCAGAACTCGACAAGACACAAGAAAAAGTACATAAAACTGCTTGCCTACAGGCTTACTATTACTGCTGCTATGCATCCACTTCACACCCCATGACACTTCTTGGAGAAATATTGCCTGTTGTGCAACTGCACGTGGTTTCTGCAAGTCCAGGGCAGGTGTTGGGTGGGAGCAAACACCTGCATTGCCACAGGCAGTGACAGCACATGGATAGAGGTGTGAGGGTCAGAAAGATCCCTAAGTGCTTTGGTCAGGGCAGACCATGAAGTCCCCCTGCATGTTTCCTTTGTCCCCTGTCAAAGGGAGATATTTGAAACAAGGGAATATGAGAGAAGTGTCTAGGGTACAGACAGGATATAGGCATGCCAGCGCATGCAGTGCACATACATGCACAATTATCCATGGTCCTTAATTATAACAGCAAAATACTTGGGATAATGTTAATAGAGGAACTAACACCCCACACCACCATCTTCTATAGAAATTGATACAGGACAGGATTTAGCACTTGCTGATGTCCAAATGATTAAATAACAGCACTGAGGACCCAGGAGTAACCTTGGGAGGAGAATTTTTTTATTGGCTTTAATGATTGTTTTTTCGATAGTTTCTACTCGGACTACTTGCTTTTCAGAAGGGTAGCCAGGTAGGGCCTTGGAAAGGGACTGTAAACATCACGTACTGTACGTGGAGCTGGGGAGTTTTGTATGCTTTTCCCCTCCACACTGTGCTTGTTCCATCGAAGAGGTTTCAGTCGGTGTCCACGTTCCCTCCAAGCCCTCCCATTTCCCCATCCTCCCTCTTTCTCTCTTAAATCCCTTGAGGGTGCAGCAGCCTCTCACTGTGCACCGTGGTGCCACAGGACATAGGGTGATGGCAGTCCTAAGGGAAGGGCTCAACACAGGAGGGATCTGCTTTTCTGTGTGGTTGATAGTTTCACAGTCCTGTAACATCCCTCTGTCCTTTCGGTGTCCTAGGAACAAACCAGGATGTTGGAGATGGGAATAACCGGCCCTGAGGGTCACGTGCTGAGCAGACCTGAGGAGGTAAGATGCAAAGGACGATACCAGCCTTGCTGCACTGAAGAGCTTTCCCCGGAAAGTCACAGTAGGGCTTAGTGTATGTAGTGGGGCCAAGCAAGTACGCTGTGTGTGTGTGCATCCATGGGTATGCGTTTATATAGGCAATACTGTCTTGTTCATCATCAGCTCAGGAAGGAGCGAGGTGCACATTTGTGACAAACATTTTTCAGTCTTGCTCGAATCTCCTAGCAGAGGTAAGGGCTTCTGAGTCTCCCAGAGATTAATCAATCAACAGAAAGGTTTATGTGGCTGTAGCAGCATTTGGGGCTGGTGTGGGGGCATTGGTCTTGTATAGGTGACTCCACGGGTGTGAGAGGCCTGAGAAGAATTGAATGGTGAATCAAATCTGAAAATTCACTGTTCACATCTGTCTGAGTGCAGACAGATTCCAGCCTCTTCCTGCTTAATCTCTGCTTAGGATCTAAAGTGTATTTCAAAATCGGATGGACAAAGCCATTGGTGGAAGAAGTGGGAGGGAAGGAGAGGGGGAATTCCCTGGTTACAAATCATTGTCAAGACACTAATTAGATTACTTCTAATTTTAGCTCGCAGGGTATTTTTCTGTTTGGTCCACTAATCTGAGTTGAGTAATTTTAGATAGGTTTTCTTGAGATAGCTCCCTGCTGAGAGGTGCTTTTAAGTTTCCACAGCGCATGAAGAAAGAAAACAATAGGAGTTTGGTGCAATAGCATAGCTGAGCAGGGGAGCACAGGGACAGATTTGCACTTCAGGGTCTGCTGGAAGTAAAATCAGTTGGCTTAAATCAAAAGTGTAAGAAGTTGACTGTATTATGGCGGGTAACAACATACATCGCCTAGTCTAATACAGTGCTTATTCTCTTTGAAGTATGAGAGTGTAAAGCATTTTCCTGTACAGGGAAGAGACTCAATGTCAAATACAGTAGATCAGAGTCCCTCTGTGTGTAAACTGTCATTTATTTTTATGTCTCTAGACCTCTTGCCACTGGTTGGCAAGCTAACCTGCAATTACGGGATGCTGTGGTTCTGCCAGGATTTGAGAACTGTCCTATTATCATAAGACAGCACTGTGGCTCGTCCAAAGCCAGTAAAACATTGTTGACTGTTTGATCTTGAAATGCCATTAAAGCATAAGGCAACTGAGAACAGTGCAAGAATCCTCCAGATATCATCTGTTCAGCCAAATCCAGATCTCATTGCCTTTGAAAACAAACAGTGTCCATCTTCCAGAACCTATTCTACCTGGGAAAATGTTAGGTGGGGCACAAATGGCCCTGCTACCCCCCATGAAGCCTGTAGGTTGATTGCAAAGCATTGGGAGAGTGGTCCATAGCTCTGTGGGTCTACTTTGTCCCAAAGGGACCTCAGTGGAGGTTAAAAACACACTCTTCTATCAGGTGATGGTGGTGATTTCGTAGGGCAGGATGGTGCTGCTCCAGATTGTAACCTGCTGTGAAGGGTATTCAGTGATGGCTCCATTTGTTCCTCCCCACGTGTTAAACTCCATCAACTACTCAAGTCCATAAGTGCACTGATAAAAGTGTTTTCCTGTTTAAATTTCTGTTTAAAGAGCCTTTAAGCAGAAGAGAAAAAACTCTTTTCACTATGCAGCAAAAAGGTCTGCAGGAGTAGGAGAGGTGTATGGGTGCGTGTGTGTCTGGGTGCAGCGGTCTGCTGCTCCTGCTGCTGGGAGACATAAGCTTGCATGGCCAGCTGCCTGGCCCGCAGGCAGTTACTGTGTTCCCGGCAGCTGGCAGTCTGGCCTCCCCCGGGAGCTAACTGATTGGTACATTGTCTTTTTAAGGCTTCTGTTTTGAACTTTCTCATGCTGAAGCTTGAAGCCAAGCTGTAGAGCAAACACTTGGAGAACCTCTGGGGTTGAGCTCAGGCTGAGTACGGGCTGATGTAATAGTACAAAGATATCCCTCGTGATGGAAATCCACCCTCTGCTAACGGCAGGACAGCGAAACGTGGGGTGGGTGTCAGCAGGCTGGGACGAGCAGCAGCTGCATCGAGGGACAGCCAGACCCTGATGCGAGCAGCCTGCCGGTGCATCGCTCGTTGCACTCCAGCCACAGGCAGGGTGACGTTTGGTTAAACCAAGTGCGGCCGCAGGAGAGCCTGGAGCAGTGAGGGGGCTGAAGGGGCAGACCCTTTCGCTGCCTGGCGTCAGCCTGTGAGCCATACTGTCAGACGTGGGCAGCAGTCCCTGGGCTGCTCTGGCTGTCAGGAGAGCTGGAAACAGGCAGTGGAAAAAACAGCAGATGCAGCTCTGCGCTGGCCCCCAAGCGTGGTCCAGACAGCGCTCCCCTGCCGAGCATCAAGTGGCTGTAGCCTGCGGGCTGGGCCAGGCCCTAGGGAGACTGAAGCTTCCCCCCTCAGGTCTCCCTGGTTAACCTGCCCTTGGGGAGTTAAGGGTAAGAGCGAGGGCACAGGGTGGCAGCAGCAACCAGGGTGTGCTGAGAGGAGCAGGGGCTCCTCCCTGCCCGCCCAGTGCTCCTGCAGCCCTGTGCTGTTCTCTCTTCCAGCTGGAAGCAGAAGCTGTCTTCCGGGCCATCACTATTGCCAGCCAGACCAACTGTCCTCTCTATGTGACTAAAGTGATGAGCAAAAGCGCTGCTGATCTCATCTCGCAAGCCAGAAAAAAAGGTGAGTGGCAGCTGCTGCTGCACACAGCCTTGCTGTTGCTGCTGGGAAACCTGGACAGCTGGATTATGTGGTCCTCATATCCTCACGGTTGTTTTACCAAGACCACCACTGTGCCTCAAGTGCAGTCCAGTGCTTCCCCTTCTGCTGGGGAGCAGTTTGTTCAGGGATTTACCTGACTTATGAAGGGCACGGGGACACTGCACTGGGCCACATGGAGCCACCTCCTGCTGTCGCATCAGGTAACATCAACATGTGGGTTGCAGGTAGGAGCAGTGCTTTAAACACCAAAGTTTGCAGCTGTGAAGGGCTCTCTGAGAAGACTCGTCTGATCCACGTGCAAGTGGTTTGAGCTGCTGCATATAGCTCTGGCCTCCCTTTGAAATGCTGGCCCCTCAGAGGTGCATGGCTGCCTTTTCAGGTGGAAGGGGCCCCATTTGTCACTGATGGTTGAGTGCAGGGACTCCCCACACGCACGTGGGCCCATCCACAGCTGTGTTAAGTGAGCTGTGTGCCCTTGCCCCAAGAGCTGGTGAACAAGGAGGCTGGTGGGCAGCTGGGTGCCTGGAGTGGCAGCTGACTGCTCACGTCCATCGCTCCTGCCACTGGCAGGGAAGACGTGTGTGTGCACAGGGGAGAGCAGAGGAGCACATGCTTAGTCTCAAGGGAGCAAGGCACCTTTACAAGCAGGACTGTAGGATGGTGCTGGTCCACAGACCGGGCTGGATGACCAGTGGGTACCTGTGGTTAGCCAAGCTGCACTGATTCCAGCTTGGACACAGGGGTGTTCTGCCAGCCCGGGCTGCTTCAGGACCAGGGTTTTGCCTGGGGGTGAAGGAGCATTGTACCCTCCTACTTCCAACAGGGAGAACAAAACTTTTAGCAGAGTGGCTGTAAGACTCTGAGGATCTGCAGCCTCTATAAAAAAGGGGAGGGGGAATGTAAAAAATGCATTTGTAGAGAGGGTCTTGGTAGAGTTGGTAACTGAGAGACATAACAAGTGTCTCCCAGAAGCACTTGACCAGGCTGTAGAGTGTGTTTGGAAAGAAAAGCACAATTTCTCAGTCCCCATCCTAGTTTATCAGCATGACAAGCCCTGCTGGGCAAAATTCCCTTGGTTACCACCTGCTGCCCTCTCCCCTGGCCTGTCCCTGCCCTGGAGTGAGGCACCAGAAGGTGAGTGAGGAACAGGAGAGGAGGATGAGCCTGCCGGCTCTGGTGGCATGTGGTAAATATTTATGAGGGATGAGGCCAGGGCCGGGCAGGTTGGAAAGCAGCTGTCTGCTGGGGCAGGAAGCCAGGTTGCTGGTGTTGTTCATCTCTCTGTGGTGTCTTCTGGGGAACACAGCTCTGCAGCCATGCCTTCCTGTGCCGTGCTCCAGCCAGGCTTGCTGTGCCAGCAGGATCTGTGCTCTTGAGCAGGAGGACCCTACGGTGATGGCAGGTCCCTGACACTAATGCGGGCCTTGCTGTCCCTCCTGCCTGCCCCAGCACTTGAGGTCCAAGCAAGCAGCGTGGGACAGCCCAATGTGGGTCTGGCTGTCCTCTGAGAACGGCAGGCTTTTGGTAGGGCTGTGGAACAGAGAATGTCTCCAGGCTCCACCAAAACAGCATCCTTTCTGTCCCCCTTTCCAGGCAATGTGGTGTTTGGTGAGCCCATCACAGCCAGTCTTGGGACTGACGGGACACACTACTGGAGCAAGAACTGGGCAAAGGCCGCAGCATTTGTGGTCTCTCCACCTCTGAGCCCAGACCCAACAACCCCTGACTATATCAACTCCCTCCTGGCCAGGTGAGTCACAGCTCTGCTGGGCGATGCTGCTAGCGGGAAGAAGCGGATCCTGGCCTCAGATAGGGAAGGAGGAGGTTAGGGAGCACTCGGTCAGCGTAGAAATTAGTCTAACCTGAACCACGTCACTGTAGGTATTTAATGAGCTGACTGATGAAATGGCTGTGACTTGGGGCTGTGGTGGCTTCTCTCTTGAGAGTGGAGGGAGGACAGGGGAGGCATCATAAGCTTAACATCAGTAATGAGAAAAATATCAGGGCAAGTAGTCATGAACCATTTTAAGTGCCCTGAAGAAAGCAAAGAAATGAGGACCAGCTAACAGAGACTTGTCAATGAAAGCATCACCAAGCCGGAGAAGCCCTTCCACCCCTGCAGGGTAGGGAATGGCTGCCTGGGTTGCGATGGTGCCAGAGAAGGTAGAGGGGCTGCAGGTGTCAAAGCTGTGAGGGCCCACCAGTGGAATACAGAGCAGATGTTTTCTGACTCCTGTACAGGTGAGCAGTAATACAGCCTGCAGAGTGCAGCAGGCCTTTAAGAGCAGCTCGTGCGCATCTGACAGGGATGGTAGGCCGTTTTTTCACCCTGAAGGCAAGGGGGTGGGGAAGGGATTTGTTGAAAATAGAGAGCAAACAATAAAAGCACTTCAGCAATTTGCTTTGACCTTTCACAGTTATACTCCATCCTCTCACTGGGAAGGCATGCACAGCAGCTAAGGACACAGAACTTATTGCTGGCTTTGTCCACACGCCACGTGTGAATTGCACGCCCTTCTCACCCTGTGTTTGTACGTCGAACTGTGTGTGTGGCGGCTGGTCTGTGTTAGCCAGGGGATGACTTGGCACTGAGGGAGTTGTAAATGGAAATGACCTTTGAGGTAATGCTGGAAACGTCTCTGACTAGATGAGCAAGGGATGACTGGTCAGTAAGAGGTGTCTCGGCAGAGGGGCACATTAGGATAAACCTGGGTTGTGCCAGGATGGAGATGCCATGGCTGGCATAAGAGAGGTGCCAGTGCACTTGGGGTCTGAATATGCAGCTCACCCTGGATTTTGCTCTGGTCAAGGAGCAGGAGCTCCCTGTGCTCAGTCTGGATGTATGAAATAGGTGCAGGTCTTAGGGACTGGCAGGGAACAGTCAGCCCAGCTCCTGAACTGGCTTTCTAATCCTTCCCTTCCACTTCAAATTTACCCCCAACCTCAAAGGAGAGGCAAGAGCATTTTTGAGTCCCTGCAGCCCACAGGCATCTGTCCTGACACCTTCGCTGCACCGTTTTCTGCAAGGCTTCAGGAGGAGAGGCTGTGAGGCTCCAGCTGGGCTGGATGGCTTGTTTTCTTCCACCGGGACAAATCTGCTGGAGATTAGGAAGTGTGTTGTGTTGTCAGCCTGGGCCTCTGGCTGCGCAGTCAGTCAGACATATGGCAGAAATTATCAGAGGAAGATGGAGATTACCAGTGGATTAGGTCTGATTCGCAGCCCCAAGCAGAGCTGCTGTGTCCACACCATCCTGGGTTCAGGCACAGCCAGTCTGGGAGCCAGGTTGCCTCGTGCGGGCAGCACCGGGAGCTGGCCTGCTTCCTTTCGCCCAGCAGCAATGACTTTCCAGCTGCTGCCTGTCCGTGGCTCCCCAAGGACCCAGCAGCAGCTAGGTGACTTCCAGGGAGCCATGGGCAGCTCCTTGCCGTGCCTTGACTGTTGGCAGCTCACTGGCTCTTGCCCGTTCCTGCCCTCTGCCTTCGTTGTCAGGAGTGGGATGAATCAGGGCTTCTCATCCGACCGGTGACCCCATCTGGGCAGAGGGGTTGGGATAACAGTGTTGGACAGCCACTGCAGAGCGCTGCGGTGAAGCTTTTCTGGGCCTCCTAGAGAGCACTGCTTCTGTGGACTGCCGCTGTCAGATTTCATGTGGCCATGGGAGGCATTTGCTTTTGTGGCAGTGATGTGGCAGAGATGCTGTGGCTTGGGCCAGCTTGCACTTGCAGGCACACCTCGGTGTGCACTGCCAGCTGCTGCAGCTATGGCTGTGAGTGTCCATGCGGGGCTGAGAGGAGCGTTTGGTGAGCTCCTGCCAGACAAAGCGTCGCAGGCCAGAGCCCTGGAGGCGGGCTGAGGTGCTCTCCTTGTTGGGGAAGGTTGGCAGTGCGATCAGCAGGCAGCCCACAGGCTTAGCCCCCCATAAGCCCAGTCCTGCAGCTGTGTCCCCTCTCCCAGAGACAGGGGTGATGCTGGCCTGCAGCAGGCTTCCTGTGAGGCAGGGGAGGGCTGCACTTGCCCCTTGGCATGCAGAAGCTGGCAATACACAACGAAAGGGCTGGCTGTGGGGGACAGTCCTTGGGCGGAGAGGCCTTTTCCTCCCCATGTGGCAGAAAGGCTGCTCTCCCAAGCAGACCTGACAAACTGCCAGAAATGGTTTTTCTGACTCACTGGGTTGTTTTTTTCTCTTTGTGTTAGTGCAAATGATGGACTCTGGTGTGGAAGGACATCTTTTGGCCTGACACAAAGGCCACCCTGTTCCCCGGGAGCTGAGCTGTTGACTTCTCTTGTGTGCAGGATGCTGTCGATGCCCCAGGCGGGCAGTGCAGCGTGGCAGAGCTGTTTTGCCCCTGTGTTTCCATGTGACGTGGCCACCATAGGGGCTGAGTCGGGTGGAAGTCTTCAGACTGAGGGGCTGTAGAAATGGGGGTGCAGAGTAAAATAGAACTGAGCTGGGGGCTGCCTGTGCCCAGAGGAGACCCATGTCTCTCGTGTCCCTGCTGTTGTCTGACTGCAAAATGACTGACGATGCTCTTGTTACCACCACTCCTCAGTGGTGATCTGCAGGTTTCGGGAAGTGCCCACTGTACATTCAGCACCGCACAGAAAGCAATTGGAAAAGACAACTTCACGATGATCCCAGAAGGGACCAACGGCATAGAGGAACGAATGTCTGTCATCTGGGACAAGGCAGTGGTAAGAGTCACGCCAGGGAGAGGGCAGAGCGGGCAGGGTTGACGAGCACCTCAGACACCTGTGCTTTTGCCTCCGCAGAGCTGGGTGCCCAGCTGCCTGTCTCTTCTGTGGCTTTGAGAGTCAGAACAAGCCAGAGCAGGAGGCAGCTGTCATGGGTTCACAGTGAAGAGCCAGGAGCTGTGACTATGCCCCCAGTTTTTGGTCTGTCTGGCACCAATAGCAAGATCAGCCACAGTGGTCTGGGCCCAGCCAGCCAGTGGCTTGTGTGGAGTGAGTCTGGTGCTTCCCGGGGCTCTTGACTCTCCCTTGCCCCAAAAGAGTGCTTAGTTCTCTTTGTGTCTGAGCAGGCCACAGGAAAGATGGATGAAAACCAGTTTGTGGCTGTGACGAGCACTAATGCTGCAAAAATCTTCAACCTGTACCCACGGAAAGGGAGAATAGCAGTGGGCTCGGACAGTGATCTGGTTATATGGGATCCTGATGCAGTGAAGATCGTCACAGCAAAAACCCATCAATCTGTAAGCCCTCTGCTCATCTGTGGGAATGCTGGAGGGTGGGGTGCAAGTAGCACTGTATAAAGGCTACCTGGCTGCTGGGAGCTTGGCGCTGCCCTGCCGTGCTGGGCTCTGAGGAGGAGGGACTGAGTCCAGGCTCCAGGCCATGCCAGCTGTGACTGTGTTGTAGGATCTCTGAGCCCTGGGCTCTGCACCCAGGGTTTTTCTCACCCTGAGCCTGGCCCACACAGGTGTAAGGACATGCATTTCTCCTTATCTGAGTTCCTCTTCCAGGTACAAATTTTTCCTGGCTTTGCCAGCGTGCTTTGTTCATGCCTTACCTCAAGCCTAGGTCCTGCCGTCCTCTGTTGTTGGGAATCCTTGCTCACACTGAGCTCTGAAGCAGCAGGTCCTGGTTCATGCTCGTAGCTCTGGTGGGTTCTTACTGTGATGGACTAGCAAACTAAAGGAGGCCTCTGGGGCAGACGAGGCCGTTACAGGTGTCGTCTCCCTGCGCTAGTGACTTCAGCAGCGAGGTGTGGGGACTAAACAGCCCTGAGTGGGCAGACAGTGCTCCTGTCCCTCCTGACCATCATCTCCTGGTTGCTGCAGGCAGCTGAATACAACGTCTTTGAAGGGATGGAGCTACGTGGGGCACCGCTGGTTGTCATATGCCAGGGGAAGATCATGCTAGAGGATGGCAACCTGCATGTGACCCAGGGGACTGGACGCTTCCTGCCCAGCAGCCCTTTCCCTGACTATGTCTACAAGCGCATCAAAGCCAGGAGGAAGGTGAGGAGACAGGGATGCCAGGAGACAAAGTTGGGACAGTTAGCCCAAATTGCCCTTTTCCCTAATAACTGATTGGTTTTCCTCTGCTGTTCTGGCTAGACCCTGGAAACAGTGCTGCAAACGGGTGTATTTTGAAGCCTCAGTTCGGATAGCTAAGGCTTGGGTAGAGAGCTTTGATCTTAGTGTTGATGGTGTGCCACCAGTGCAGGCAGATGCTTGTCTGGGTGAACAGTGGGTGATGCCTGCCCTTGTTGCTGTCCTTCTGCAGCAGGAGTCTGGAGGGAAGTGCTGAGTTAAAAACAAACAGACTGGGCAAAATGGCCTTCTTCCCCATCCATGCCGCATAAACCCATGCTTAGAGATTGCCTGTTGCACCAGGCTCTGCACGCTTTGCAGGGTGGGAGTGAAGGGAGGCTGTCATACACGAGGTGGGTGGTGGGGCTGCGCCAGGCCTCAGTGCTGCAGGGAGGTCCGGGGTGTGCGGAATGGCGGGACACAGATCGGGGAGTGTGAATTGCCTCTGCAGTGGGACTGGGGAGCCAAGGATCGTTGGAGTGTGATGCTGCCAAGGCAGGATGCTCCCTGGGAGCAGAAACGTGTCACTGTGCTCTTCTCTCTGGTGACAGATGGCGGAGATGCATGCTGTGCCACGGGGCTTGTATGACGGACCTGTGTTTGACCTGACCACCACCCCCAAGGGGGGCACCCCTGCAGGGTCAACCAGGGGATCCCCCACACGGCAGGCACCCCCAGTCAGGAACCTCCATCAGTCTGGATTCAGCCTGTCAGGTGAACATGCATGGTGGCTGGGCTGGGAGAGTGCAGGGCCGCTGGCCACACTGTCCCAGCCCCTGGCCTGGGGCGGGGGGGCAGCTGGGAGATAGGCTGGGGCAAGCTAAGCACAAGAGTGGAGCACGGCAGGACAAGACCCTGTGTGTCCCTTAAAGGACATGGCTGGAGGGAGCTGGCCCTCCACCTGCTCCACCTTGCAGTAGAAGCAAGGCAGACAGACTGTGGCCATGGAGGTGCCAGCACAGCATCAGACCCTGCTCTTGCTGTGTGGGTCTGTTCGTGGAGGAGCATCTACAGAGACGTTCACACCACTGCTACTCTTGGGGTCGTTACTGGAGTTGGAGAGGGAGCAGGCTGCTGTAGACAGCTTCAGGAGGCCCTTCGGCAAGACCCCAGGCTGCCTGAGTAGTAACTGAGTAGTAACTCAGTCCTGTGAAGAAAAACTCTAAACTTCGCTTTCCCCCTTCCCTTTGTGGTTTCTTGTCCTTTCCCAGGTACCCAGGTTGATGAAGGTGTTCGCTCAGCAAGCAAGCGCATCGTCGCACCCCCAGGAGGCCGCTCCAACATAACCTCCCTCAGTTAAATGTCCCTGCTGAGAAGGAAACAATCCCTGTTCAAGTGAAGGAAGAAAAATGGTACATTGGTGTTTAAGAAGGAAAAGCAAATAAACCTGTTCTGAAGAATCAATAAGCCTCAAGCCTTATGTTTCACAAATGCTACTTGCTACCTAGCTTTAAAGATACTGCTTCATTTTGTTTTATGCATAGCCTTAAAATTCTGTTGTTGTTGTTGTGGATTCGGTTGGGTTGTGTTTTTACTCTTCCTTTCTGTATGCATGCTGCTCAGACAGGTCGCTTGGTTCAGTGTGTTATTGGTGTTGAACGCGTGTGGGATGCCGTAGTGTGGGACAGCGGGAATGACCCAGCATGGAGGAACCAGCCGGGCAGGCGAAGTGGCAGGGGCCGGCCAGAGGCACAGTGTGGGACGGGGAGGACAGGTTCACGGGAGCTGGTGGGGGTACGTGGGTCTGTGTTGTGTTCATGTCCTTCATCTCCACCCAACGCTCTTGGCGTTTCACCACGAGGCCCATGAGGGAGCCCGAATCATCTCTGTAACAACTCTCACAACGCCTCGTGTAAGGAGTTCGACTACTTTGTACACTTTATTAAAAAAAAAGTTGTTCCTTCAAACAACTCATGTTTCTGGTTGGCTTTGTTCTTCCTCAGGCTTCTGCTGCTTGGCAGGGGTGGTGCGAAGCCATGGTCTGCAGGCAAGCTGGGCAGCGGGGCTCCAGGGTGGGCTTTGGGCAGTGTTTGAGTTGGAGGAGCTACTGTGCCGGGACAGGCTGTCAGGTGGAAACCGTGCTCGCTGCTATAGGTGTCAGGGTATTGGTGTAGCTTCTCAGGCAAAAGCAAAGGTATCGGCAAACAGTGTGTTGCAAGTGTTTGTAGAAGTCTGTTCCATTTTTCGGTCTAGCCTCTGGCTGCAGCCTGACCTGGCCATCACAGGCTGTTAACACCCGGCAAGAGCTGCGCCTGCCACTTGCGTGGTGACAGAGCCCAGCTCTGCCCGGCACTGCCTGGGCATGGTGTTTGGGATTTCCCAGCTGGGGCTGGCTTGGGTGCTGTTTTCTGTGGGCACCTGTGAGTTAAATGCTCCCCTTCCATCAAGTGTTGTTTATCACATCTAAAGCTTGCAAAGCATGCAAAAAAACCCTTGGTTGTTTTTTAAATATTACAAAAATTAAGGGCCAATTTAGGCTGTGCTAAATAAATACACTTTTTCTTTTTTTCTTCCTTAAGTATTTGACCTTGAAATATTTATTTTTACATGCCTGCAACTCAGACAGGACAAGTTGTGTATGCAGCAGTCCTTAAGGGGCCACACCAGAATAGTTGTACCAGAGGCGGGGAAGGCTGTTCATACTTACAAAGTTTTGAGAAGTTCTGCTACCAACTAATTAAAGATTTTTCCCTGTTGTCTGGTAGTGATTAAGCTGGGACTGCCTCTGTTTACAGAGGAAGAGGGGAAAGGAGAGATGGGTGTAGAAGTCCTTGGGGAATTTTTAAAGATGTGATGTTCTTACCGTTTAAGTACTCGAGGGTTTGGGTTTTTTGGTTTGGTTTTTTTTTTTTTTTGTATTTGGTCAGCCACTAAATGGTATTAATGCAGCAATAGGTTTTTCCCCAGTGAGCAGCAGGGCTAGTTTCCCTGTCTGAGCCTCCAGATAAACACATTTATGGTATATGAATTGGTACACGCACCAGAGCAAGGCAATCAGATGTGTGCTGTGCAGGGGACAGGTACAGCTGTTGGCACAGTCCCTCTTCACCACACCTGGCCGCAGACCCGCTGTAGGACTGGGCAGAGAACAGAGGATCAATGGAACGTGCTGCAGGTGCTCTGGCTAGCCTCCCTGGGAATGACAAGTCTGAGGGCAGAGAGGCATGGAGACCCCTACCCTGCCAAAAATCTTACTGCTAGAAAGCAAGGATGGCTGGGGAAGGGGAGAGCAAGAACACAGCGATACTAATTTGGGTGTGCTGTGACTTAGCAGGAGAAGGTGGCTTTCCCATTGCAATGACCCCGCTTTGAGGGCTCCGATAACTACTTACTGGTGAACTAATTCCACTCCATCTTTGGAGTTGTACCAGAGGTGGAGAAGGCTGTTCATACTTACAAGCTCCCAGGACAGAAAAGAGTTGTGCTTTCCCAGTTGGTTGTTTCCACGCGAGCAGCATACGGCGATGCTGCTGCTCCCCAGCCCTGCACACACACGCTGTGCTGCAACTATGCCAAGAGCCTGACCTGAGCAAATAAAATCAGGCTACCAGGCGTAGCGAAGAAGGTGGTGGTACTGCAGTGCATCAATCCGTGCGCCTGCGGGGCACTTGCCAGCTGCGCAGAGGAAACCAGGGCACGCTGCACAGCGAGTGCTGCAGTCCTCAGTCCCTGCAGCCTTCACCCAGAACTGGCTTCCCCTTACCCTGGCACCTTCATGTGACGGCAGCAAAGAAACTGCTTTACTCATCTCAAACTGGGGGGCTTGTTATCTTTATTGTACAGAGGTGAAGATACATGCTGCCACGGCACCATGTCAGGAAGAGGATGCGCAGTGCAAGTCAGAACAGGCCCCCTTTGAGTCCGGGGAGGTGCTGGCATTGCTGTGCCAGCATCCTCCCTGTACCCTACCTGTTAACAAAGATAGCAGGACCCACAACCGCATTTGGTGCCATTCACATCTCTTAGAAATTACTGACAAAAAAAAAAAAAAAGGAGCCAGATGGGTGAAGGCCGTGCAGAAGCTGTTCCATGGGGTTTGGAGCTGGCAGGGTGGAGCCACATAGGCAAACACCAGAGCTCTCAGCACGGAGGGAGCAAAGTGGGGCATACCCCAGCATCACCCACCACAAACCAGACTGCCCAGAGAACCAGTCCCTTGGAGAGGGCCTGGTCGGGACTCTGTACAGACCCATCGTGACCATGCTGGACTGTCCTGCTTGGCCTTTCTGCAGTACGGGTGTGTTCCACTGCATCCTCCAAGAGACGCCACCAGGATGGAGGGGAGACCCGGACATCTAACGCCATCTGTGGGAAGGCTCATGATCTGGTCTGAGCAGGGGAAGGTGTGGCTGCTGCATGCTGGCAGTAAACCCTATCATACAGTGAGGTCATATGCTACCTGGGAGCAGCCGGTGGTGGGACACCCCACCGCTACCATTGTCGGAGGGACCAGAAAATGGAAGACACCTAACTAAAGCTTATTTTTAGGCACAACCTATGACTGAGCTGCTCAGTGCTGGGATGCTCGCTACATGCCATGCTAGAGGCGGAACAGGCAGACAGGACCTTGTGGTCAGTTGCTCAGATGGGCGATCCCCTGCCTTGGCTTCAGGCATGCTCGGGAGATGCTCCCCTCCCAGCAGGTACAGGGATAGCTGCTTGCCTGTGCACATGCATAAACTACACATTTCCCAAAGCAAACCAAATAGCCATCATCAGATCAATGAGAAAGGGATTATTCATGTGTCCGTCTATCAGAATCATAGAATCATTAGGGTTGGAAGAGACCTCAACGATCATCAAGTCCAACCATATACCCGATGCCACCATGCCCGCTAAACCATGTCTTGAAGCGCCACATCTAAAAGTTTTTTGAACACCTCCAGGGATGGTGACTCCACCACCTCCCTGGGGAGCCCATTCCAATGCCTAACGACTCTT